TGATCGTATATGAAGTCATGTATGGTATATGGGGCCATTCCGACCCGTTTTAGTGGTAAAAACAGGGAGTTGATTTTTCCCCCATTGACTTATAATGGGGAGGTCGCGAAATTGACCTGACCTTAGGTCACCGATATCAAAATTCCGAGATATACAAATTGCACATACTGGTACCCTAACTAAACCCTGAAGAGAAGAAATTGATCGGTCAAAAACTCTAGCTCTGGCGTGATTGCAAACTTTTCTGAGGTAGGGTCACCAAACCGCCTCTGGTGACCTGACCTGAGGTCAGATCAACTCAAAATTTTCAGACATGTTGCGTAGAAGCCTTTTAGGAAAAGTCAGAAAATTTTAGCTTCCTAGCTCAACGCGTTTGGGAGAAATAACCAAAAAACCTCAGGGGGGGGGGCTCCTGAGGCCCCCCCCCCCGCCAGGAATAGGGTTAAGAGTTCTGGTATGTTAGCGGTTGAATGTGTAGTAGGTATTTAGCCGGAATTTCCCCGCAAAATACGGCATCTGTCCCGCACTATTAACCCAAACGCAGATATATGTCGCCGATCTGTGAGCTGCGTTAACCGCCGGTTTTGTCTGGCCCCGGTGCTCTATAAGCTGCCAGCGCTGATTTCTTAGAAAAGTGGTACCTTTAGCCGGAATGTTGTCTCACCTGGCGCCGGCATTGAGAGCGGCTGAAATCTGTCGCCGATGGCCCTGTATAGAGGCGCCTGGGACCGGAGGTGTACTCACTGGCGGTCCCAGGGGGGGGGGCCACGGGGGCCATGGCCCCCCCTTTGGTGCTGAAAGGTGGGGCCATACTATCTTTTGGCCCCACCTTTCAGATCGAACAAAAGTCCTAAAAAAGCTTTTCGTAGGTTTCATTTTCTTTCTAGCGCCATCAAAGGACGTAAAGTTCACTCATGAGTGGGCTCAGTTTCGCATTCTGTCAATTTGGCGGTCAGCGTCGCTGGCACCGGTTCACGAGTATGGCCGGATCTTATATGGAATATCAGCGTGGGTTTACTTGAGGCTCTCGTAGGCCCAGCAATGGCTGGCATGAGACCCTCTTCGCCAGTGGTGGGTGGGCCCTGCTAAAGGAGATTGGCTCTAAAGACACTAAAGTAAGACCTGATGGGTTGGTGCTGTGCACCTCAGAAGCCCGATGGTGACGCCGTATGCCGGCTTGGTTTCTTAAGGATTAGCGTGGGAACTCCGGGGCCTGCATAGAGTTTGCATGCGCTAATATGTCATCTCAGAGGCATGTGTGTAATGTGTACACAATGGCGGTCGCGGGGGGGGGGGGGGGGCATCAGGGCCATGCCCCCCAAAGGTCAATAAAGGGGGCCATCATATAATTTGCCCCCCCCCCAACAACCAATGGGCCCCCATATAGGTGTATGGGGCCCTGGCAATTATTCGATCGTCACGAGGCTCAAAAAACCCACGCCCAGCTATTAATATAGCTCCCACACCGGTCTTTGAGCGTCCTACACTGACCTCTGAGGGAACTTCAGTGGCGGTCAAGCGCCCACGTTGACCGCTAAGAGCCTATATCAACCTCTGAGACCCCACATCTGGCCTATGAGGGCCCCTAACCGGCCTCAGGGGTCCCAACCGGCGTCTGAGGGTCTCACACCGGTCTCTGGTGGCCTTATTTCTGTCTGTGGTGTCCCAAGACGAACCTTTAGGTGCCAATGAGGGACCCGCACTGGCTGCTGAAGACCCGATGCTGGCCTCTAAGGGCCTGCATTGGCCTCTGAGGAGGGCCCATCTTGGCCTTTGAGGGCCCTCTGCTGGCCTCTGGGGTCCAACGACGGCTCATGCCGGTCTTTTTTTTATAAATTTAGTCCGAACCTTTTGATGGGAAGGATTCACAAGGACGGAGCCACCGCTAAGCGAAGCTTGTTGCGATGACCCTGCCCTCTACCCTCCGATCGCGCAATTCCGATTCTATGGCAGAATTTAGAGTCCAAAGTTTAACCCGCGCGGGGCTGGGGGGGTAAATTTTACCCCCCCTCGCGAATTTTTGCGATATCTAAAAAACGGCGGCGCGCAGCGCCGCCAAACTTTCAGTACCTTTTCTTACATCAATTTGACACCTTCCCTGAAAATTTGAGCGAAATCCGTCGGAAAATTTTTGAGAAATTGACGTTTTAGTGACGTCATGTTCGCCATTTTCGCCTCAAAAACGGCAAAAGTTCAAACGCCGCTAACATCTTCATTTTTAAAGGAATCAAGACGTAACAAAAAAGGTTATACGTAATTTTACTTTGTCTATCAAATGGCTATCTCGGTTTTTTGAAAATTTTGGATTTTGGCCTAAATTTTTTCAAAAAACTGATTTTTTTGGGAAAATCATTATAAAATCCAAAATTTTGAGTCTATCGAAAAAACCGGAATATATGTCAGAGAAGTGGTCTATGTGCACCTACATAACAAATTTTAGAAGAATCGGTTCAAAAATGTGGGAGTTATTCAAAATTTTATGACGTCACGACACACAAAATTTTTGAAAAATGACTTTTTTGGAAGTTCTAGACCTCGTACGGAAACAAAAATAGCACCATTCGATTTGCCGTGAAAAACTGCATCAGATAGACACCTTTTTAGGCCTTAACAACCAACTTCAAAATTTGACCTCACTTGACCTGACCTTGACCTGACCTCGACCTGAAATTCATCCAGAGGTGGTCCATATCACTTATTGAGTGTGCCTATTGAATTCTATGAGTAAAATGACCCATAAAACATGTGTCGCACATGCCCTTTTCTATATTTTGTTTTTTGGTGACCTGACCTGACCTGACCTGACCTTGACCTTGACCTCTGAATGATATTGTATGCAACTAATATTGTCTTGGTAGCCTAAGAACACGTTTTGGGCGATCAGTCTCAGTCCATGACTCCATTCTTCGGCAACTACGGTGCAAGACCGATACTGTAGAAACTTGCAATTTGTACCCTTGACCTGACCTTGACCTTGACCTCAAACTTTAAATTAAGTACATGTTTTTAGTAGTTCGTGATGAGAGCTTTCGATTGGCGTTTGAATTTTCCAAATCAGACCATTAGTTCGGGAGATAACAGGGGGGGGTAAAATTTACCCCCCCCCCCCAGCCCCGCGCGTTCGGCTGGAGACCCCAGCCCCGCGCGGGTTAACGTGCGCACAAAGCCGCGCACGGCCGGTCCCCTCGCTGACTTCGCCTGGCTACGGCCTGCCACCAACCGCAACCATACCTGTCAGGAGGCACATAAATGTCGAGCGCCCGTCGCGCTTTGATCCCGGACTGTCATAACCGGGAACGCGTGCTCTCACCACGCGGAGTCCAACGCTCTAACCAACTGAGCTACGGGACCGGCACGCTTTTAGGGCCCCACGCTGACCTCTGAGGGCCCATGTTGGCCTGTAATGACCCACATTAGCCTCTGAGAGCCCAACTCGGTCACTGATTGTCTCCAACTACTGGCCTTTGTAGTTTGCAGGCTCTGTACTGGTCTCTGAGGGCCCTAAACTGGCCTCTACGTGAAAACATACATGGGTGGGTTTCTGAAGATCAGAGGGCTCACGCAGTCTCCGGCACAGCCTTACGTTGGTCCTGATCGAGATTACTTTACGTCCTGATGGTCCCGCGCAGATTCCCTCATATTTCGACGCCGGGACCCCATGAGCCGGTGTGGGTCCTGGGGCTGGCAGAGACTGATGAAGTCCTTAGGGCTCAGGGCCAGTCTTTTTAGCAGTAAGACTAGGCAGGTTGAGTGAGCCCCATTAGAGCCGTTGCGAAGCCCCGCAGGAGTCGCGCGCGGCCCTCAGATGCCAATTTTGAAAGCTTGGAACGGAACCTGTGGGGGGTCTCCAGAGGTCGGTGTACCTACTCTCTCCCGCCGCCACACAACTAGGCATGTTACCTATATGGGTAAATGTCATAGTCTGAAAATGCTCTCTGGGTTTCACATGCTTATTCAAAGCAAGAGGTATCTGTACTTTTCCGAATTGTTTTATAGTGGTAAGGTCATGAATCCGCGTGCCTGACATTCCAGTAGGTATACCTATGCTACACCGATCCGTCGTCATGGTGCAGTGGGCCGACCGGTGGAAGCACAGTGGGACGGGAAATGGAACTGGTGATTTTGCCTTAAATTGAGCTTAAAGATTTCACGCAAGAATCAGATGGATGAAGCATAAGTAATGCCAAATGCGCGGCACCTCGTGGACGTAACAAAATTAGCCGATCACCCCCCCCCCCCCTCCCGGTGACGGAAAAATGTTATGTCCCGCGAGTGTGACTTTGGCCCCCCCTTTTGCTAGCGGCTGCGACCGCCAGTGGGTGTACTATCACCGGTGTCACCGCTCGGCAGCTGAGTCCACCGCCGCCTTTGTGCCGGCGCGGCGTCCGTATCGTACCGCAAACATACAGCCGCCCTAACCAAACACGGCCGGCTGGGAAACGAGCAGTGGTCTCCGCCGCCAGCTGCTCGGAGTCCCGGGCCGGCGCCGAGAATCAGGAGCGCCGGGGATGGATGGTTATCGGTCGGAGCGATACTCGGTGGCCAGCTGTCTCACGATTTCTGTAACGCTATTGTGGACTACTGCTTCCAAGTTGCACTACATGTTACATTTGCACACTCTCATACCCTCCTCAGTCCTCAAAGCTCTTCCAGCTTACGGCACAGCCGGTACTGATGTGGGCCGAATGGCTACACACTACACAGTGCACCGACGCCCATTTTTTTTTTTATAAATTTAGTCCGAACCTTTTGGTGGGAAGGATTCACAAGGACAGAGCCACCGCTAAGCGAAGCTTGTTGCGATGACCCTGCCCTCTACCCTCCGATCGCGCAATTCCGATTCTATGGCAGAATTTAGAGTCCAAAGTTTAACGTGCGCACAAAGCCGCGCACGGCCGTGTCGGATATGCTCGCTGGTACGTTGGGAAACAGCTTGTTGATACATCGTTTCTATTGTGTGCTTCTGCTATAGCTAACCCGCTGTTGATCTCTCTTTGCAGGTCTCAACTCTCCGTAAGGAGCTGCTGTTCGCCCCGGCCCATAACACAACCGAGCCGACCGACGAGCCTGCTACCTGGCGGCCGCACCACTCGCGGCGGCGCCACCATCGCCGCCACAGAGGGCACTCGGGTCGCGGCCCGTTCCAGCTGCGCGCCGTGGAGCAGATCCTGGACGTGGTGTACCGACGACAGCAGGAGCTCGACTCGGAGCTGCAGGCGGCGCGCCGGAATGTCAGCACCCTGCAGCAGTGGCGGACGGCGGCTGAGCAGCGCCAGGAGGAGCTGCTGGAGCGGACGGAGCGCGCCGACCGAGAGAGGCAGCAGCTGCAGTGGCAGCTGAACGTCACCTCCTGGTGAGTGGCGGCGAACACGAGCTATCAGGTCTTCAGCGGGCAGCGACCCAACTCATGCTAATATTGGACAGCATTATATATTTTATGGACAAAAGAAAACTTCCCCATTCATACGCCCCATCTCGAATATCGATACTGTGCGTACCATAGACTGAACCATCGGCTGAACGTGTGCCTAAACGTGCCTTAGCGTACATACCAATCATCCACTATCTAACTCGACCTCTCTTTGTGTCTGTCTTCAGTCGGGACAGCGTGCGCGAGGTGCAGCAGTCGACCACTCGGCTGATCCAGGAGGTGGAGCAGCTGGAGACCAAGGTGGATGGACAGCTGGTGGAGGTTCGCCGTGACCTGGCGCAGCTCCAGGTCGGCTACGGCACCCTCCAGACGGCCGTGCGAGCCGTGGGCGACGAACAGAAACAGCTGCCGGCACTGAGCAGACAGGTACGGGCCGGGGTGGTGTAGCTGGGGAGGTAATTGTTGGAACTGTATAGTCTGAGGTCGATTGTGTCAGTTCCCCAGTGAGAACGCCGAGCTAGTGATCTGTTGTGGGGTATGGTTGACCCGTAGGTGCATGGCAGCCCTGGACATTGGGCAAATACCTACCTCACCTTAACATGTTCGCTTATGATGATTATCTCAATATTCTTATCTCTATATTTGATTAGTCTCTACTTTTTATTAGTCTCTTATGGACCTGCGGTTGTCTGGCTGTCCCAACTCCCGTCTGATGTTGCCTGGCTAAGTGCTGACCCATGTGTAACTGTCTTGATCTGACCCGTGTGGCTGTCTGGTCTGGCCCGGTCTGACCCTTGTCGTTGTTTGACCACCTCATGACTGTCTGCCCGTCTATCTTCCATCCCGTCCCGTCCGTGCTGACGGTCGCCTCCGCCCGGCAGATGAAGCAGAAGATGGCCGAGCTCTCTGAGCGTCAGGATTTGGACCGCACCAGCCTACTGGAGCTACAGACTGACCTCCTGACGCTGGCCCTGGACCGACCAAGCAGTGACGGGCAGCACAAGGTGGCCAGATGAGGCTGCCGTCGCCTCCGGGACGGGGAAAAGAGCGTGCTCTGCTAGTCAACGCGTCAAATCGTGTGATCCTGTACATAGATGGACTGAGCCGATCGGCTTGACGGCGCGGTGGATAGCTGCGAGTCGCACAGACAAAGGACATGTCTGTTCGACCTTACGTGGGGTTGTGTCGGTTTACCAACATACGATAGACTGTCCGTCAGGGCTGACCGTGGGTGGGTAGAGCCGGCTCGAATGACTCGCGAATTACGGCAGACCGTTCGCCTGTCCGGTCGTGCGTGGGGTAGGGTCGGGCCTCGGCTCATGGCACTAGGACCCACCGTCCGTCTGTCTGTCCGTCAGCCCGTTGGACAGCGTCGGTTCACAACTTGCCACAGTCGGGCAGACCGTGTGTCAAGTGTCTGTCCTGCTGACCTTGTGTGGGTTAGGTGTCGGCTCACGGCAGACTCACGGCAACCTGCACCGCGCGGCGGGTCGTATGCCTGCCCCGACTGTGTGCCCTCGGCTGTGTGTCCACTCTCAGTAGATCTCGGCTAAATGTGTGAGGGTGGGGAACGCGGTGGTCTAGCTGTTCACCCACGAGCTTTGTGTAAAGACAGCCTCTGCGCTGGAGGGCTGCTACAGCCGTGAACGCGATCGTTTACCCGAGAAGCCACTGTAATGGCGACTGAAGTGTTTGTACAGTGTATCTGAATAAGTCATCGCTCTTCCGAACACTTAGCTAGCAAGCTTTTCAGAGACTAAATAGTAAGACTCGTCGAACGCTATTGTGGATACATTTTATCATATATGCTGCAAAAAAAAAATTTCCGAGCCAAACCTCGAATCTTCATAGAATCAAGCGCGTAGGTGAGTGCTGTACTTACTATATAGCCTGAGATTGATGTCGAAACATTTGCCAACTGGGGTTGTGAATTAAAAAACAACGAATCGTTTGGGAAATTGTCATGCCATAATGTTGTGTGACTGCGTGTGTGTTTATACATCGAAGAGTGAAAAGTGAAGACAATACATTTTGTAGAATACAGATACTCCGCTTATGCGGGTCAGTGGAGGAGGAAGATTGATTGGGCTGTGAGGAGTCCATTGCCTCTGCTTTGGCATATCAGATCCTTCACGGTGTTTTCAAACACAACTTAGTCCCAATGAAGTTCCTCGCAGGACACCCCACCCCAGGAACTACGCTGGCGAGTCCCACCGTGGGCCGTGGCCAAGCTCTCGGAAGGTGTAACTAGCGGCCAATGCTCTTCGGAGAATATTGCTTCTTTCCAGCCTCCCAAACACTGGCGGAGCCACGACACCGGTCCAGCGCCCTCCACTCTCCCCTCCCGCAGTCACACGCCGTGTCATAGGTCGCTCTGTATTCCGAGTCACTGCGATAAATAGTCTACTTACAGCGCCACGACGACTCGGCACGGGTCGCCGAGACAATGTGTGCATAGGAGAGCGGCCGGGGCGGCGGCGACGAGTATATGTACATTCACTGGATCGGACCGGCGCGGCGGCGGGCAGCGGGCAGCGCCGACAGAGCCCGAACCATAGCACGGTGCCGGGCTTCGGAGGACATCAGACCACACTTCGACATCAGTCAGACCAGACAAGTAGACAAATCAATGAGAGAATGAAACTGAATCCGTCAGTTCTATGAAACCTTTACTGGAACTGATAATGTAAGGCGGGCCTTTATATCCGAGCTTTCATTCGCTGCCACTGCCGCTGTGGTCCTCAGTGTCGCCAAGAAAACGAACCTGTCGGACCTGCCGACAGTGCGCGCCGCCACACGTTCGACACTTGATTGCACTGTACCAGAGCCGTCGCGCCGGCACTGGCCGCGGCACCACACGCCGCGGAAGCGCGCGCACATACACGGTACACAGTTATATACGGCCACACAGTACAATATTGACGCAGAAAATAGCTGAGATTTGCTTCGCTTAGCGGCAGGCAGAGACAGGCTAGCGGCGTGGGCACGTGTGCGTTCACGTGGTTCGTTGTTGGCTGCGGCTCCACTGGCGCTTACCGGCAGCGAACTAGTTCATTTGTCAAAATATGCACATTAATGAAGCGTTCTCCCTAGTGTTAGGGAAACCGTGCTCCACACGAGCAACAATACGAAGTAGGCGATACAGTATCGGATCTCTGAATAGTAGGGATTACAACCGTCAGGTCCTGATCTCAGATTAGCTCCCTAATAAAAGCCAGCTGACTGTACTAGCACATAGCGGTACCGGTACGCCCAGCTCTGACCTACACTCAACTGAGAGCAGCATAGATCGGTATCAGCTCGGCACAACCAAAGGACACCCCGGCACGGGGCGGGCCGCACCAGCGGAAAATGCAGACACTGCCAGCACGGGAGCGGCTCCATAGGCAGAAGTACCGCCAGTCCACCAGCCGACCGCGGCACTGGACTCTCTCCATGGGAGGAACGCATAAGCGACGGACAGACTCCGAGAGCCAGACACCCTCGGCGCACAGCCCGCCGTCTGAACGTGACAAAATAAACGGGCGAAATGCGAGCTCACGATGAAACTAAAACTGACCACTGACCGCTCTGTACGACTCACTCACTGGCATTCCACCGGCCGGGGACGGTCACACTCACATTCACACATATGTCGATGACTAAATGAAAGATTGCTTCGCGGTGGGCGGGCACAGGAGTCGCCTCACCGCTGAAATGCAGCCGCGGCGGCCGGCGGCGGTCGGTTTAAGCGCAGCTCGGCGCCGGTCTCAGCGCTCTGAGTGCACCTGTAGGTAGGCGGTGGGCACGAAGCCCTCCTCGAGACTGTCGTGTCGCCGGACGCGCGTCCAGCCGTCGCCCTGGTCCAGCTCAATCACCAGCAGCCGCTCGCCCTCCTGCATCGGGATCGAACCTTCTGACGACGCTGGGGGAGGCAGAGAGGGAGGTCAGAGAGACACGTAACTTATAGACAGGGAGGGAAGTCAGAGGTGAGATCGACCGCACTTAGGCGCTTGGGGAGCAAGGAAGAAGAGATGCTCATTCAGACACCTGCAGAGGAAAGCATGTAAGAAAGAAGCAAAAACGAATGTGATAAGATGACGGCACACTCAGCCCTTCCTGAGACATAATATTTGATTCTCCAAATGGAAAAAAGGGCTTCGTGACTTCTATGCCTAGGACGGAGAACAAGTAAAAAGTTGACATTCAAAGGCATTTTGAGAGCCCTTCGGAAAGACCAATGCATGGTTATACGGCACACGTGACATACATACCTATGCTATTTAGCTACACGGTATACGATTTTGGTTTGATATGCATGTTCAAAACGCACACACAAGTTTAAGTACAGTGTGATGTAAGCGCTTCCTAGTAGTCACAGATGGAAGCGGGCATCAGGCACACGCACACAAAAAGCGATCATCTCTACGCCACTTGTTGAGGGAAATGTTCAAAATAGCACCTATACGGGCCACAAGAAAACCAAGCAATATGCCCAGTTTTGTGTTGGGCACTGGAGGTAAAATGGGAACACTTATGATAACCTCAGCATGAGGATAGGGTGTGTACTGTGCAGTCATGTGCAAGGGATCGCAGCATTATTACAAACAACTCCGATCGGGTCTGGCTAAGGTTCGGTAAAAAACATCAGCTCCAACTCAATGCCCACTCGAAAACAGTGAAAATGTTCCATCCGTGGACGCCACTACGACTAAGCTTTTGTCATAATTATTCACAAACGGGATGGACCGTGAAAACGTAAGCACACATGTTACACGGCGGGTGGTGGTGCGCCCCCCGGCAGGCCGGCCGGACCTTTGAAGGCGAAGAGAGCGAAGGCGTCGGCAATGGGCGGCAGCGGCCGTCGGGCCACGTACCCGCCCACGCTGATTCCGTCCTCGGGGCCTGCCGACGGCCAGCGACGAGCGCTCACTTACACTCTGTGTCAGTCTGCCTGTCTCTGTATGTCTGTCAGTGTGCCTGGCTATGTACAGGGTGTCTCAAAAAAAGTGTCACGGTTTTGAACATATCCCATTTCCTAACAACATGACCTACATTGTTCAAATTTTTCAGATTTAGTGGCAATATTCTGACATTTTGTGTGGCAGAATTTCAAGTTCTTAGGTAAAATGGTTTTTGCACCGGAACAAAAAGATTTAAAAAATCTCAATTTGGGTGCTATAGGAGATGGTATACGTCACAGTCTGCCGACGATTTCGGTAAGACTTTGGCTTTTGCTTGTTGCACACAGCAACCTGCCCGTCAGTAATTATCTACAACTATTAGTGACCAAAAAACGCCATGCAAAACAGACAATGAAATTGCAATCACCCTGGCCTTTAGTCTCAGAACAGCGCCGTTGCCATGCCTGACTCTTCCGTCAAAAGCTGCAGTCGCTGACACTGTGCAAAGAACTTGCGACATTCTGCCACATTGCACACACCCAGAAGCTGTGCACGTGTGAGTAGGAACTTTAAAACTGTCCATCAGCTATCCTTTCTTCTCTTTATGTGTTTCGGAACAAAACCGAGCAGAGGATTTTGCCATCAAAGATGCCTTCGACTGTCGAGGCATGGAAACTCGCGCCGTCTGAAAATCAGTCAGTGTTGATCGTTGCCCATGTTTGTGGCAGTGTTTCAGCCTGCTGCTGTGCTCCAGATGGCAGTTGTACACGGTGTTTTTACCTATAAAGGTTTCAAAAATGTACTGATGAGCTTGTTTCTGTATTCATCAGGCGAAAGGGGCTCAGACTCTGCAGGATCGACGGCAGGATGTGACGTATACCATCTCCTAAAGCACGAATATTGAGCTTTTTTTTGTTCTAGTGTAAAAACCATTCTGCCTAGGAACTTGTAATTTTACCACATAAAATGTCAAAACATTGCCACTAAATCTGGAAAATTTGAATGATGTAGGCCTTATGGTTACGAAACGGGAGATGTTCAAAACCGTGACACTTTTTTTGAGACACCCGTATCTATGCGCGCGCGTCGGCAATCTAAGGAAAGTGAGGTGTGCCGTGTGTGCACCACTGATAAGAACATCACTCGCGAGGTGCTAAGATTCAAACACCTGTGCGACGCCAGAATCAACAGCGCTACAATCTACATCTTGCAGGGACCAGAGGAAACGGCAGACGGGCTCTGGGATGTCAGTATATCCAACAGACTTCAGGGGACAACGGATAGCTGGGACGTACGGAGACTCCGGAACGGAATGTGTCAATGTGTACGTCTTCCGTGAGTTTTTTTCAGACAAATCTCCGCATCCAACATCACATTATCCCAGTGCCCATTCTTTGAGATCAAGAGACAGAGAGATAGAGCTCAGAAGACAGACAAACATACAAAAGATTCAGCCACGCTATCAGCCTTCACCAAAATCTGGCGGACTTTGCTAGAGTCCCAGACTCAGGGCATCGTGACCAGCCACGGCCCCCCAGACACCCGCCCAGCCTAGCTGCGACACTCACCGTCGAAGGGGTAGAGGGCCGACGCCGACGCTATGACCGGCAGCGGGTCGTCGACGAAGGCCAGCTCCGAGTCGTCGCCCCCGTCGGTGACGGGTGGCGCCCCGTTGGCGGCGCGGCTATCGTCGACGTCAGAGTCGGAGCCCGGCAGAGAGGCGTGCGAGGTGCTGCCCAGGCCCGACTCGGGGCTGTTGGACGAGCTGTCGGCCGGGAGGGTGGGCAGGGGTCAACCGGGGGGAGAGGTAATTGCCCAGACCCGACTCCGGACTGTTGGACGAACTGTGGGACGGAGAGGGGAGGGGTTAGTCACGGAGAGGCGTGCGAGGTGCTGCCCAGGCCCGACTCCGGGCTGTTGGACGAGCTGTCGGCCGGAGGAGGGGGAGGGTCAATCGGGGTGGGGGTGATGCCCAGGCCAGTCTCGGGGCTGTTGGACGAGCTGTCGGCAGCGAGAGGGAGGGGTTAGCTGGGAGAGGGGTGCTGCTGCCCAGACCCGACTCCGGGCTGTTGGATGAGCTGTCGGCAGCGAGGGCGGGAGGGGTTAGTCAGGGAGAGGCGTGCGAGGTGCTGCCCAGACCCGACTCCGGGCTGTTGGACGAGCTGCCGCCAGCGAGAGGGGGAGGGTCAATCGGGGGGAGAGGTGCTGCCCAGGCCCGACTCCGGGCTGTTGGACGAACTGCCGGCAACGAGAGGGAAGGGGTGTCACACAAAGAACACACAAATCACAAAGGATACAAACTAAGCAATAGACATCTACACCAGCACAGTGGGGTTCTATTAGGCAGGACACTGCCATCAATGATCACTGTCATCAATTGTCATTTGACACTGTCATCAACTAACACTGGTACAGCTTCGGCACGGAAATCAAACAAGACAACCCAACACCACAGCTCCTTCCGCGCCCGCACTCCAATCAGCCGCCCTCCCGAACAGAACACAAAACCACCTCCATCCTCACATGTGGCTGGGCAGAGTGGCCGAGTGGCCCGCGCCGGCGGCGGCGGCGGCAGCGGCCGGCGCGGCCGGGGCCGGAGCGCCGCCCAGCTGGTTCACCGAGGAGTCGCTGGTGGACCGACTGAGGTTGCCCTCCGGTTCACTCAGACTGCACCGCTGCCCGTTCGTGTCTTGTAGCCTGCCGGTGACATTCGAGAAGGGCCGTCAGAGGGCGGGGTGTGATGACTGCAAGCTGAGGGAATACAGTCGGCTGTGCTCAATCGCCGTGTTTCCCAAGCTGTGCGTATATTCATTTGTACATGATACGTGTGAATATTATGATTGTGCGTTTGTGTCTCGTGTCGTACGTCGTCAATCGTAACGTGCCACAGGCGGCGTGCCGCACACTGCACAGTGTGTCATGTGCGCTATCCGGTATGAGCCATATGCAATATTCCACGACGTGCACGCGGGTACACGTGCACTGCATGTGTACCCACGTATCCGATATCATGTGCCATAAATTGGTACGTTCCGTGTCATACACGTAGCCGATAAGTGCCGTATGCCGCATGTCTACCATACACAGTGCGTCCCCTGAGATCCTTCCTATGTCGTATGTCGGTGTGTCCTGTCCCAGAGTGCGCCGCGCACCGAGCCACATACCGCTGATACTTGTGCAGCTCGAGCCGCAGCTTCTCCAGACGCTGGGTGTTTTCCCGCAGCTGAGACTCGATCGTCATCGGGTCGCCCAGCGCCGGGTTACTCTCGTACACGCCCTTCATCTTCATCAGACCGTCCCTGGAACAAACGGACGCACGTGGTTATGGGACAGATACACATCTAACACACACAGTACAGACGATTCTACAGCGAGTACCACATAATACAACGGCGATCATACATCGAACCGGTAACTATTCTCCGTAATTAGCCGAAATGAATAAAAAAAAAAACAGGTCGATTTCATTGAACCCTGGCATGAGTGTGTGTTGGAGTTCAGGTGCAAGGTAACTAGTCTGTGAGAAAGACACGCGAGACCTTGAGCGTGAGAGGAGCGGACATTTGAACTTTAACGAATCTCCAGGGAGGTTAGATCACATCCACGTTTTTATCATGTCAACTTTTGCAAGTAACCCAACTTCCGGTCCACTGAGCCAAACCGGCGAGAGCATCACAGCTCAACAGAATGGAGGGAAGTCAGGACCCACGCGCGGTCGATGGTCCTCACAGGACACTGTCCGTTTCCCGGACAGTCAGTACAGTGGTTCAGGTGGACAGTTGACGCCGGAAGTGAGCACCCAGCGGGGCTGGACCGCGGCGGCCGGACATCCTGCGCCGTGTGACAGATACCAGACATCCAAACAGCTCGGAACCAGCCCTCCCCCACCCCTTCTGCTGTCCGGTGTCTACGCAGCTAACAGCAGACAGCCTTGACAGTTTACAGCTTATCGGCAGGATAGTTGTTGTTGTTAATTGGGGTTTACGGGCGCTTAACAACAACGTTCCTGCCGATAAGCTGTGATCGGCAGGATAGCTTGTTGACAGGGCGCCCGGTCAGCACACGAGACAATGGGCAAAATATTAAGCCGGCCGCGCGGTCAAAGTCGGTCCGCACAGGCCCTGTAGCACACGGATCCAACCCTGTGCCAATCGGCCCAATCGGCCTGGGTCGAGGATAGCTGCAGGGACAGGCACGGGGGTCTCACCGGGCAGACGTCTTCTGGGTCGGGAACAGCTGCTGCAGGGAGAGACAGGGTTCTCGCCGAAGTGGCTGTCTCCTAGGTCGGGGACAGGCTGCAGGGAGGGATAAGGGTCTTATTGGAGCGGCCGTTCCCTAGGCCGGGGATGACAGGGACAAGGGTCTCACACGGCTGCTAGTGCTGTCTCCCGAGTTGGATACAGCTGCAGGCGGCCAGGGCTCTAATCAAAGTGAAGGGCTCTTCAAAGCGAAGGTCTCCTAGGTAAACGACAGCTATAGGGAGGAACGTGGGTCTCACCGTGTAGCCGTCTCCTGGTTGATCTTGGAGGTGAGATCGTCCAGCTTCTGCCGGATCCGTTTTCGTCGCTGGTTGGGTGGCAGGCTGTCCAGGTCCTCCTTCATGAACGACTCAAACGACGCATTTGGCGAGGAGTTCTGTCGATCGCGCCAGGCAGGGGCACAGGCCAGGTCACAGGTCAGGTCAACGGTGGTGATCAGCGTAGCGTTGCGTTGTACAATGTACAGTTTTACCATGGTTTTACTATTGTACCGGCGTGGCAGCAACGGCGTTAATTGTTTCATTTCAAACATTGAAAGTCGGCCCCGCTCATCCCTTAAGAAGAAAATAATAATACAAAAAAATAAAGCGAAGCAAAACACCATTTGAGTATCAAGTGATTTTTTGTGACTTGGACTCCAATAAATGGGCATCAAAGAAGGGGAAAAATCTACGACAAATAAAATATCATTCAGTTGCATTACATGCTTTCTGAGGATCCATGCTATGTAATTGGGCTCAAACATTTTAACAAATAAACACAAAGCGAAACCAAAGACGACAATAGCCTACAAACGCGGCGGTTCAATGCAAACCATGGCACACATGCAGCTGCGAGTGGGCATGGCACTGCGGTGCTTATAGAACAGTCCCTGTTGGAAATACCCCATAACTGTGACGGTGAGAACGGCGTGAGTGCGGTGAGCAGGGGCTGCTGGAGGTGAGAAAAGGACGTGGGGGTGCCAGTGTCGCGGTGTTGGTGCCGGCGGAGAGTGCAAGCTCGAGGTAGAGGGTGCACGGTAGGAGTGTCAGTGTCGATGTGCGAGTGCTAATGAAGGGTGCCAGTTACGGGGTGCGGGTGCTCGGAGAATGGTGCCGTTGGCATATCAGCGGTTGACATGGTGCGCTTACAAGCAGAAGCGGTAACAGCTATGTGAAGGATTGGCGACAACACAGCACTGGCCGGGGAGTATGTGTGTGTGTGTGTGGGTAGAGGCCAGAGGGGGATGGGGTACAATAGCGCCAGACAGGATTGGTGGACGTCGCCGGTGTGACAGAGCGTCCGGCCTGTATCGGGCCGTAATTAGAGTGTAATTTGAGACTTCCGGCGGCGGCGGCGGCGGCGGCGACGGAGACAGTGACACCGCCGGACAGACCATTCCACGCCCATACAAACACCGGCGCAGACGGTCAGCGGGCCGGCCAGAACCGTCCAAACAACTACAACGCCAGCTACAGCGGCAGGCGACATCACTAACCGGCGGACACTGGTCACTGACCAATCACTGCCTATAGGTGTCAGCCAGGACAGGCACCAGCGGACACTGCTCAGTGATAAATCACTGAATGAAACCAGAGTGGTCAGCCCGAAAACAAACCAGAAAGTATTGGCCAGTCTGGATAGTTACTGGTCTGGTAACTGCTCAGATAACAGCGGGCACTGGTCAGTAGTCAATTGACCAAACACTGAGACCACAGTGGTCAGCCAGGACGGACACACAGCGGGACGACGGCCGCCTCTCGGCGCGGTTAGTACCGACCGGACATGCCGGGGACACGGCTGACCGCCAAGGCCACCGCCTCGCTCCCAAGTGGGATACAATGGTCCGAGTCAATAACCGCCCGGGCTGCGCCAATTGTCGTTATTGGTAGAAAACGCCTATAAAATGGCCCACCAATTGACCGGCCGCGAGTTCGTTCGTTTCATAAAGTCTGTGGAACAGCTTACGTTCAGTGTGTGCTATTGATGAATAAACAAATGGCCCTAAGAACGTTAAAAAAGATAGTGAGACTGATAACCAGAAACTGAGAAACAGCTGCAGAAATACCGCCTCGAGGACCGTCGGCGGTTGGCACCTCCCTAAAGCCACCTGGTGCCACACAGGGCATCATCACCAAGATTTGCATCACCTGGCGGGACGCTATACCAGCCGGACATCTGAGGCCCTCCGATGGTGGCGGACCGCTACACTGGGACAAGACCACTCTTACGTCGTTAGAACTCCCCATTGCAATGAGCTCGCGTAACCTAGCCGTCTGTTCAGCTATTCAGTCTGTTCAGTGTTGAGCGTTTACTGACTTGTGAATATTTGGAGAAGTTTCTCAGAGCCGGCGGGGCGGATACGTTGGCCACACGCGGCCCACTCAGCCGTACCAGACGATTTTAGATGCCACAACCGCAGCGGAACGACTGTCCGTTCGTTCCTCTCGAGTCTGCTCCTTGCGACCCGAAGCTCGAGTACCTATGACGACATTATGCCAGTCCCCTGGCCATGGGGCGGGCGCTGGTTGGCTGACTGAAGGCCGGGCGACTGGACTCATATCCAAGCCCTGATCAAACAGATACCGCTCCGTGCCTGAGTTTTCGAAACTACGTGCACACGCACACACACGCACCGCGTCCTCGAACTGGCACGCCGGGCCCGGACGTGGCCGATTAGGTCGTCAACCCCCACACGTTACAGACAATCCTGCACCAAACACTGCACAGGCGCACTGCGGCGCGCACGCCCAACAATCGTCTGGACTTGGAGCTGTCCCATCGACCGAGTGACAAGAGCAGCCCCATCGTTTATCCGGGACTGTCTCACCGAGCCACAGTGTCAGCTGTCCCACCCAGGCATCGTTCGGGGCTGTTCCACCAACCCAGTGACCGTAGCTGTCCCACGTGTCAGATGTCAAGCTCTGTCTCACCGACCTTGCATCAAGAACTGTCCCACCACGCGGTGCCCGATACTTGAGGCTTGAGCGCCATTGAAAGTAAAATGTTTATGAGGGAAAGCCAAGCAAGCCGGTACGTAACAACTCCACGGGCGGCTGCGGTACATGCCGCGCACAATGAATCTCAAACTCACGGGACAGGACAAACGGTAAGCCGACGCGACGGTTAGCGAACTGGAGCAGCACACATATTCGCACACGGCAAAGCAAGGGGCAGGGTACGCCCGGTACTGTTCTATGCCGGCCTTGGGCACGGCATTATTTTCATCTCCATCAAACTCCTGAGGACCGTTGGAGCCGGGTCTCAAGCGTTGTTCATCCACATACTAGGACTGTCCATTTCCCGAGTTACCCACATGCACCGTCCCAGCTTGTGGGTTCAGGAGTCAGACCTTCACACCACCGGACATGCAATGCATGCAATCGACCGACCCCTCTAAGCCAGGTCAGGTCAGTGGAGAGTTACTTACGTCGGCGGCCGGACGAGGTCGGCACGGCGCAGCGGCGGGCCGCGCAACAGACGCGCAGACAGCGCAGGAAGACAGAGTACAGAAACACAGCCGGGAGGCAGAGAGAGCGGAAAGAGGAGCGGAGAACTCAGTCAGTGGCGGCGCTATATACACCACACGGCCGAGAGAGAGCGGCGTCCAATCAGACCGGCAGGCCATGCTGACTAGGGAAGGCTGCAGGAGGCGCCGTAATATCCCCGAGCGGCCGTCCGTACAGACGGTACGGACGGCTGACGGCCCACCCGTACGCAATGATACGACCCGTTAGTACGCTACGGCCCGTACGAACTTCCAATCACCGATAATTACGGAGCGTTAATGAGGACTGAAGGCGGTTAGACGCCTTTCAAAGACGGTCTTTACCAAACGTTAAGTTAGCGCCGACTTAATCCCATCACCAGTTACTACTGTACTAAAGAGCCAATTATATTATAATTTCTTCCAGCGATTTAACGTTACCGGCGATTTTTATACCAGCTCATGACTGAGCCGAAGCTGTCGGCCGACTGCCTACCTTGCTGCCACTGAAGATACCGAAGATGCCGCCTCGCTTCTTGAACTTGGCGGCGGAGAGCGTGCCCTTGATGGTGAGCCCACGTGGCGAGTCAGCGATGGCTGGTGAGGAGTGCACCATGGTCGCCGAGCCGGCCGGCGGCGCCTCACCGTTCCTCGCCGAAGACAGGTCCTCGAAGGGGATGCTGTCGGGCGGCTCGAAGCCCGACTTGTAGCGCTCGATCACCAGTTGCGAGTCCTGTCGGAGGTGAGGGGAGAGTCATTGGCTGTGGGATGGACGGCTCAGAAGCCGACCGCTGTGGGTCTCACCACTACCTGATGACGACTGGGGGTGACCGGCGGTCGCGCTCTTCTGAGCACCTGGCTCGACGGCTCTACAACAGGAGCAGCACGCGCAGAGAAAAGGAAGCGTAAAGGCCGCCGTCCACTGCGACGGAATTCCGTCCGGAGTCCGTCCGGAATGTCGCCGCACGCTGGCCGCATCCGGTCCGGATGCGGTCCGGATGCGGTCCGGATGCGGAGAGCTAATAAATGTTTCCTATCACTTATTACCAAATAAAATATTGCAAGTAACCAGCAGCGAATACTCTTGCCATTCTAAGGAAATAATTTTTACTTACTTCATGATGATCGAGTTCCAATTCTTCGTACAATTCACAATGTTTGCCTCCGATACGGCCCCAAACCACGTCTGTTCCGGACGTTCCGGATGCGTTTTCCGCAGAAAAGTTCAACGCGTCGGACATCACTCTTCCGTCTCCGTAGCAACCGCATCCGAAACGCATGCGGAGAGCTGACGGAAAATCAACAGCTGATTGCCGTTCGGATGCGGTCCGGACGGAGCGCACACGATTTCCGTACGGACCGGATGCGCCCATAGGGTTCTGTGTTAAATTCCGTACGGACCGCACGCGTTCCGCACAGTGGACGGCGGCCTTAACACTAACACCTTTCACATAAGGGAGCGTTTGTTGGGGATTCAGAGCTGTAAGGTGTATTTGTATTTGTGTTTGTATTTAACATCTGGGGGGCATCCACAGGTAGTTGTGGCTATTACGCTCCCGCGTCATATGAGAATGGAACAAAAAGACATCACACTCAACATATCACACAAAACTCACCAAAACGCATGGCTATGCATGAATAGATTTCAGCTGACATACATGCAACCCATATGCATAAGCCTAAATCAGTGTTGAAAGCGACGTTTGAGCGATCACACATCAACCGTTTTGGTACCCGCCAAGACACAGTTTTCGCCATTTTTTCTGCCAAACATTTCATTAAGACCAGCCTCAGCAATTCCATTGGTGACAGTACACCTTGTAAAGATGCCCAAAGTGTAGCGGTGACAGAAGTTAGGAATGGTCATTTTTCTACTCAGCGTTATGACAACAGCGGAAAATAATAGGATCATATCTGCAGGAAAAGTGTGGTCGTTGAGCACCGGCCGAGCGGTCAGGCTGCCAGACCCACTGGGGGTGCAGTGCACCCGCCTCCCCTCCGCCCCCGTTCCTGCCAACTGGCGCAGCTGGCGATCAGCCCAGCGGCGGCTATCGCTCTCTCCCTCTCCCCTATCCCTCTCTCCCGGCCCACAGGGGGCTGATAATGGCGGCCGGCGGGGGAGCGCCACCCAGCCCCGTATCCCGTCCCTACCGCGCGCTGTTCCTCGGTGGACAGAGCCCCCACCCCCTCGATGTGGACTGGTAGCCCGGACTGGACAAGGGCTTCCCCTCCCCCTCCCCCAATATATATAACCCCACCCAACACCGCTCACACCTAGCCGAAATGGAGCCGGTAACAGACAGACAAACACCCACAGCATAATAATCAGCAGAAGGCCGTCGTTCGATTCGTCAATGTGAAACATTCGTTCAACAAGTGTCGAAACAGATGCCCTATTCAAATGCATAATTAGCATCAATCGGATTTCACACATAATTACCCAAATTAATTGAACAACTGTCTAGCTGGGATATGTCAAAATTAGTGGGGTAGCGTCATAAATAATGGATCATTACGTCGAAACAGACGTCGGCACCGGAACTGAACGTGGGTGACGGACTATGGTCGAGCAGTGGACTACCACGCTTGGGCAAGAGCAGACAAGCCAGTCAGCATAAACACACTTGTAAGGACCAAGGAACTGCCGCCGGACGCGCCAAACGCGGATACAATTAATGAACCACGCGGGGAGACAACTAGGTTAGTCCCCCAGCGAAAATAATAACGACAAAATTACTTGTTAAATGTAGTTAAGAATTAGTTATATAATATAGGACTTGTGTCAAAAACATCACTAATGGCACAATTTTTCCGGAAGGAAGAGATGGCGGCAGCGGTGCCAAAATTTTTGTATCGATGAAGGGATTCGGTGCGGTACCTTTCCTACCTCGTCACAGGGATGGCTGCGTTCACCCGTGCCACGTTACCTTTTCGGCGTCGATGGTATCGGCTGCGCGCACCATGCCGTCCAGGCAGGTGTGGATGATGGGGAACACGTGGCGCTCGATGTCCACCGCCCGGCGCAGGTGGTCCTGCTGGCAGCGCGCGCGCCGCTCGTCCAGCGCCTGCAGCTCGTCGTAGATGGCCGGCAACAGACGCGCGTAGTGCTCGTGCTGGGTGGGGCGGGGAGTGGGGAGAGGAGAGTCAGGTGGTGACCGACATCGTGAGGGGAGGGGGGAGCTCTAGTGCGATGCGTCGTAACAGAAACAATATACGATGGGCAAATCCAATGATCTAAATCAAGCTAGGCGGTAGCCATGAGGACTGTAGTGTGTTTGCACCAAATAACAGGCAAAAATAATACGATTAGGTAAAAGTATTACGGTATCATGAATCATAATGAATCAAAATGCATACTGATTACTGATGCTTCGACATTCCTCGCGAAATCAATTTCCCACGAGTCGAACCCAGAGAATCTCACTCCCGTCTTCCTAATAATCACTGAAGCGAATTTCCATCTTGCCGGGGGCGCTACTGCCCGCCCGTTCCGCGAGTTTCTCACGATTTCGCTCTCAAAAGACACTCGACCACTGTCCAATCAGTCCGCCTGAACCACATACGCCACTCTCGCTCCCCCTCCCACCCGAGTAAAAACCGGCCAGCCTCGATGTCTAAAACGAGTCAACGGTAGCGCCAATAATTAACTCTAAACCGGACTGACCGGTGCGGCGCGTGGGAGCCATGTGACGTGTGCCCCCCCCCCCCCCCTAGCGTCCGGGGCCGGTGCGCACCTGGAGGTCGTTCGTTTTCTGCAGCTGGTTGGCGTACTCATTCTTGTTATCCTCGCACTGCTGGTCTCGTAGGCTCGAGTTCATCTTTTGTTTTTCCACCTCGGCACGGCTGAGGTTTAGGTCGGCGTCGGCTTTGTGGTAGTTCTCCAGGGCCTGTGGATAGACACAGACGATGGTCAGTGGCGTCCGGTACTAGACAATCTGAGGCGCTCAGTAGTCAGTTAGGCACGTCACTGGCCAATAGAGCCCGGTAACAGACAGTCTGCGACGCTCAGTAGTCAGTCAGGTGTCTAATAGGTCAGTGGCGCCCGGCCAGTAGTCAGCGCAGCCCAGCAGTACACAGTCGGCCGCGCCAGTAGCGATAGCGATAGTCGTCAGCCGCCCGTTGGCGAGGAAAGCCGCCCCCACTAACGGCCGGCCGGCGGCGCCAGGCCGCGGCCGGTTTGAGTTTCAAATCAGGCCCATCACCATACTTGACCGCAGTGCGGTCGTCCGTCGCCTGATTCGGCGCCGAGTTTGGAAACGGTGGATGACCCGCACGTGCCGGGTAACCAGTGATAGGCCACCGGCCACCACTCGACTCCCTGACGCTACGAGATCGGTCGATCTCACCCCGACCAGTGAGCTAGTCTGCCTCGGGGACCTTCCCCTTCCGTCCCTCCATCTGGCGAGGCCGGCGGTCCCACAGCAGCGCACAGAAATAGACCGTTCCGCGCAAACATTTACCTTTTCTGCCTCGCGCGCCGACTTTTCGTAGTTCTTTTTGGCCTTCTCCAACTGCTGGCGTTGGTTGTTGAGCTGGTTCTGCAGCCGCGTCGCTTCGTGCAGCAGCTGTGCGGGGGGGGGGGGGCAGAGGGGGGGGGGGGTGAGTTCCGGAACGGAAACAGAGAGAGGGGGTGGATGGGGAGGGGTACACTGCACTAGACACGGAGACGCCGGCACTCTGCAAATATTTCAAACTCGCACAACTTCACAAACGAGTTTAGGGTAAAACCAATCAAACCAAAACAAAACACAGTGAACAAACCGTGTAAACCCACTCCCACTCCAGCACGCCCCAAACGGGCGCGCTGGTCCCGAAATAGGCGCGCCATCACCGCGGCCCTGTGATCATACGAGCTGCGATCCGCGCGAACAGGGTCGGGCCGGACGGCTATTTTGGCCGCCCTCACCGCGTTCGACACTTGTGGGGCGCGCTTCAGCGGCTGCATTTGGCAGCGGCCGCGCCGGCCGGCTCCGCACCGCCCGCCGGTCCGGCCGCCGCACGCGCCACCCGCTCACCCGTTTGCGTTCGTCCTTGAGCGTCCTGGCCGTGGCGGTGACGTCGGACACGACGCTGGCGGCCAGCTGTTCGGCCACCACCTCGTGCTGACCGGCCAGGTCGCCGACCTCGGCCAGCATGGCGCGGTACGCCGAGTGCGACGTGAACCTGCGGAGGAGGTGGCGGGTCAGCGGGGATGATCGAGGTAGCGGTAGTGACTGTGATGGGAGGACACGGCGGCACGAGACACCGCGCGGAACGCAGCAGCAAGCCGCCAGAAATGCCCAAAGAAGTGTCACGTGTACGACACAATGACAGGTAACAAATGCACACAAACAACACAAACCATTCTCACACACGAAGATAAAGGTTTTCTACATATCATCGCATCATACTATCACCCCGCAAGGAGAGTAGGATGGATGACCTTGTTTGTTTGTTTATTGGGCCCTCAGGTCATCCCAATGATCCGGGTAGATGACCGCATCTCTGATGAGCCCGGCGCACCATCTCAGCTCCATCTGCGTCGTCGGCGTCCGGTCGACGGTCGGCGCCGACGGGCGGGCCCAGGACGCGTCTGACTCGGCCCGGGTATCGACCGGTCCATCAGGCTGACCGTGATAGTGGAGCCGGGGCGGGGCCGGCCGGCGCGAGCAGCGCGGCTGGACACCGTCCCCGAGCGTCGGCGGCCGCTGAGTCACCGTCCCCTCCCCCGAATCCCATTACACCGGTGCGCCGCACAGACGGTTACCGGAGGAGAGGGGAGAGGCCGGACAGGAGCGGGTTCACGTGCGGTGGCAGGTCCGTCAGACCGGCACCACGTGCTGCGCCGACTGGCACGGGCACCACGTGCCTGTCGGGCGCGGCGGGTACACGCGCCCTGAGACGTCCCCTCCCCTCCCAGCGGCGGGCGCGTGACGCAGGCCGCCGCAGCTGGCGCAGCGCGCGGCGGCGGCCGGCCGGGCTGGGCCACACCGGCAGCGTGCGGCCCGAGGAGCTGTCACCGGAGACAAGGACAGCTCGGTAACGACACGCGGCCCCTGCCGTCTCAGACATCCAGAGCTCAGTCATAGGGGCACGGTACGGGTATTCAGCAGGGCTGGAAGGAACAGCTCACCGGGACGGTTATCCCGCCTCTCCCCCTCTGATCCATCGAACCAGCGGGTGACCGCGGCAAATAGACAAACAGAGGGGACGGCCGGCTTTCCCTTCCTCCTAGGTAAGATGGCGCTCATAATGTAACCATCGGCATCACCACCAGTCAGCCGCCCTGCGCCAGTGTCCCGAAACTCCACCACTTCCCGGGGTCCAAACAGAGGCACTTCTACAAATTGAAGCAGAATTGCAAACGATTGAGAGGGAAGTTGCGAAATTTGGCGATCTCTTTGTCCAGGTTTAGGTCAATGAACGATGTCGTAAAACGGTAACATCCTTTCATCTCATTCACAAAATGAGAGTAGTACCACGATAATTTTACCATCGGCAAAGTCAAACGTATCAAGAGAAGATAGTGTCGTTTACAAAGTTGCAAGGATAAACGTCATACACGGTATACCTACCATGCAAAGAAATCGTAAACCAATCTAGCAATAGCATAAAGATTCTGGCGCGATACGTGAATGACAGTGCAGTGTCGTTCAGAGGCAGAATGGCAGTGTTAACGTCACGTCGGAGACCGACGACCCCACCCAGTGAAAGCCATCCATCCTCAGCCGTGGCATGTCGGCCGTTCAAAGCAACTGAGGCACATTCATTGTGACCCTCCGAGGCATGTCAAAACCGACGACAGATAAAACACAAATGAGAGAATATGACTTCACCAAAGCACGACTCATGCAGTGACTCAGAAAAGCAGTTCCTGGAAGGGGTGAGCTGTGCCATGAGCCCTTGACTTTAGTTTCAAGCCAGGACTCCGACCCTACTTTAACTTGAGTTGTACCCTGCCCCAGGATCCCCTAGCAGTTGTGACATGTGCATACCAGGAATTCATGTTTCTCTCTCCGGCAGCTTCCGAGAGCCGGTGGATGACAGCACACGTGGGCAGAGCTGTGACTCGCGACAGTCGGACGCCGGAAAGCGCCTCCCCTCTTCCCCTCCGACCCCAGCCCCAAACGACAGAGCCAAGGACGCTCCGGAACAGCCAAGTCACTGCGGGAGCCAAGCACTACGGCCAACGGAAAGATATGTAAATCACAATCATAACAGCAATAACTTCCGCACATTAACTAGGTTATAGTAAGCACAGGACAGACGCGCCTCAGAAGGTCTCAGCGCAATGTGACGTGATGTTCCGACACAGCGGCCGGAGACTGGCCGGAGCCGCCCGGCGAGTCACAGTCATTGTCGGGCCAGCCCCGCCCGGAGGCCGCTGGAAGGTCGTTCCACTGTGGCGGCACGCGCGGCCGCCGCCCCTCCCTCCCCCCGACGCCAGCGGCCGGGCGACGCTCGCGTCAGTCGAGAGGGCGTGGCAAGAGAGGGAGGGAGGCGAGGGCGTCTGTGAATCGCGACCACGAGCGTCCCACTGACCCCGCCTGCGGTCAATGACGTGGGTGCCCCCGGCGCCGGGGAGTGGTTCTCGGAATCAGCCGTTGGCCGCCCGAGGCTCCACTCAGACCCAGCCCGTTTGTATTCGAGCCAGCTAGCTCTCTGAGCGGTCGACGCCGTCGGAAAAAGCTCGCACAGTGCCACCACGAACAGGCGCCTGCCTCTGTCGTGAGTTGTGTCGGTGGCCAGTACGAGCGGGCCGGCCGACTGACTCACTGGCAGCGGCCGCGCCGGACGGGACCAGCCCGTGACACACCACGGCATCCCTTCGACCGGCGCGGCGCGGTCGGACGGCGGCGCCCCGTCCCTCGCTGCCGGGCGGCCGCCGGCGCCAGGCCCGGCCGACAGATTCGCGCCGACTTTCGCCAGCCGGGGCCGGTTTCTCCGCGCTGCCCGGTGGGAGGTTGGTGCCTGCCTCACCAAAACTGAGGCGCCTGGCAGCCAGGTGTCAACGCCGTCACGATAACGAGGCACCCGCTCTCGAATGCCGTGACAAGACGGCCGCGCGGCGCCACGAACGCAGGATGTCGAATGACGAGCGCACACACTAAAGTGATTGCTGTTTGAGAGCAATGGCGGCACAATTGACAGACCGTTGCTCCCTACTGGGCGGCACAGCACGCTCCATTCGGTCCGCGTCCCAGCTGAGTGGCCTCGCCCGGGGACCAGACAAAAAATGTTACCAGTAAACATGCCTGAGTCATCCAACATACTAGTGGACTGAGAGACTGTTTGGGATGAGTCACCAGATATTGGTTTGCGATAACGACAGTCAGTGGCACGGTTCATCTCGGTGTTGCTTCGGTACTTCACTGTGTTCGTCACCCAGCACCACATATCCGTTCGATCAGGGGAAGGGGAGGGATGTGAGCCACGTCATCCGTTTTCTGCCGAGTTGCGTCTCGCTTATCTGGCGTCTGCCGGTGGCACAGTCAGCCGTTCACGGGAAATGAATGGTGCAAGCATCGACATCTGCGGCCCCAGACAGCCCGCTGACCCCCACTAACCCCGGTCCCACATACACACTGGACTGGGGATTCCACAAAGAGGTACTCACTGCATATCGTCATCCTTCTTCTTCAGCTGGTACTTCTTCACGAGGCTCCTGAAAACGAGTTAAAAAGTTGTCAAATGCAGGCTCAAAAATAAAAACATCCATCATCTGAGTCAGATCTATTAATAAAGACGCAATAAAACATCAAATGACCGCACCTGTAACTGGGCATTGGTCTCTTGTGCGCTCTGACTGATAACAATCACATCATTCAACCCATACAGTCACAATGCCTTATCTATTTGGGAGAATGACATGCAATGCAAACGGGTTTGGCACTGAGCGTGAAAGTGTTTACTAATCATGAGGTGTTACGGCGGGCGGGCAGCACTGAGGCGGCACAGACCGGCTCCCAGCCTTCACTTTCCACGCGGCTGGGCACGGCGGCGCGGCGGCAGGTAACTCAGTCACATGACGGGGGAGGGGGGAGGGGGGAGCCGTGACCCTCCAACGGCTCTCCGAGTCAGACAGGACCCGGAGCACGACCCGGCGGCGCGGCGCTGAATTCGCTCAGCAGACGGAATACTAACGCGGCCGGCCTGCACACTGCACAGGTAACTGCCCCACCAAGGTCCGCAGCAATACCTACTCAGGACGGCGTGCATTCGATACCAGCCAGCAAGTGAGATGACTGGCTTCCTTGCAAAAGTCATTTGCCCCCCCCCCCCGAATGTCGTAAAATAACACGAAGGAACACACGTTTGAAGCACGTTGTCCCCTGACCCCTCCACCGTTGAATGAAAGCTTTGCATGAGCTAGGCAAGATGGGAACATGTAAGCCCAATGTCCCTTGATTCGATGAATTGCTACCTACCAAATGTCCAGTTGTTTTGTTCAAAAACGAAAAACTGCACGAGCTATCCTAACTATCGCATATTGATGGCATTATTTTCATAAATATCAATATACGAAAGAAGCATTAGTTCTCTTTCACCTGTCTTTCTTGACCACAAAACTTCCTCGCCACCACCTTCTCCGGTGTTAAAGAGACCCTCCCACCTTCAAAAAAGTTGATGAACTGGCATAAAAGTGATGTCGCTCGGTTCAAAAAGAGCAAAGACGAATATCTACCAGATTTCACCGAAAGATATTCACCGGTTTTCAAGATATTAGACTTTAACTTTTATTTACTTTTTGGATCTTTGCTGTCTGTGACGTCATTTGGAAGCCATAATTTGGTATCTTAAAAGTGCGGCACTTGCGGCAGATGTTGTGCGCAAATAGCATATACCACCACTGCTTCACAAAGATGTTAGTATAAGGTTCAAAATCGCTAGATCTGCGCTGACGTCACAAATTCAGAGGGGCATTCAAATACATTAGCCTTTCTGAATCGAAAGTGCTGCAACTTTGAAGTTAAATATCTTCAAATTCAGGCCTTTCTTGATGTTGTGAGTGCCCAAACCGGGAAGTGCGAGCCAGGGACCCCAATTCGTCTATCTCAACTCAAAATTAATGTTAAAGGTAGTGTGCCAGCTTTCTTGGACCGTATGGAGTTAATGGCCCAGATAAGGAGAACCGGATTTTTAGAACTTATCCATACCTTCAAAACTCATGGAAACGTCTTAAATTCTTCAAATTTTGAGTACCCCAGTGCGAAATTCGCCCCGACGGGTTGTCGGTCGTACCCCAACTACATTTCACACCACTATGAACAATAAATGCACACACTGAAATCGCTATTACCGATATGCTCATCCAATCAAGTTTCGATAAACCCGTTCATCATCAGCTCCTGCGGTTTCGAACACGCCTGTTAGTTGGCTTCTGATGCTCGTCGAGGTCGGAATTTCCAAATACGCGTGGTGCGTCGGGCCGCGCGCTCTGACTTCGGCTAAGAAAAATGCGTCAGCTGATCATTGTCATTTCTGCCACTTGCGTGTGGTGAAATGGGGTCATAACTTATAAGACGGCTTTTTCATATCAATTATTTTACATAAAATCATATTTCAAACCATAAATAATGTTCGACAGCCAAATAAAAGAAACAATACCAATACGGGCTTACAGTTTAAGGCTCGACATTGTGTTGTCTACGATTAGAAAGCTGATAACTCATTCCCGTACGTCGTATGGTCGTAACACTATAATGACCTTTGCTTATTGTCACATGTGCGCCGCATTCGCGATTGTTGCCGACGCCTGTTTGCAGGTCAGCCCACTACAGTTGTTATACATATCGAAAAACCGATAAACTTTTAGGCAAACAAGGCACTATTCCAGGCCCATTTTTGATTTTTTTTGCGATATTAGGTAAAAACAGAAGCTTCTTACCCTAGGAAAAATAAAATGGGAAATCATTGGAAGGTGGCACACTACCTTTAAGATGACGTAGTCATAACAATTAATAAAAATAAAGTCTGTGAAAAGGCAAGAGCTTTAAAATAGTGAAACCTTTCAAGGCTGAGCATAAATTTAACACCACATCGGTTACGTAGCGGCTGACACACGCTCGATGAACTTAAAATAAACATTAAACATTTCGATGTGTCACATCCCGCCACTGAGAGCCATTACAACACTGCAGCATACTCCAACGGCTTCCCGACACTATTCTGCAATATCATGGCAGAAACATGATGAATAATGAATACGTCACTTGTCTCACAGACCAAAGTCCAAACAACCACGGATGTCCTATGGGTAGGAGTGCTGGGCCGTATAACCGACTGACGGAGTAGAGTCCGAGCTACCACGACCACCGCGATGGGCAGAAGGATGCTACGGTGATGCTGGGGTGATGGGTGTGCAACGATCAGTTTTTCAGAAGCTGGACACAGGACAGTCGCTGGCTTGATTACGACATCTGCCAGTAGCGCTCAGCCCCCCTGATCACCTCCCAGGCTCCCACTGATAATGACAGATCCAGAGAGCCCGGAGGGTGCCATTCTTGACCCAGCAAAGCCCCAGAGCGACGGGTCAGGCACCTTTCTCTCTGTTGTTTGGAGCAGTCTCACGGCCCAGCCGCCACTGCTGTCGCCTGTCCGGGTCGGGACATATGGTCAGGTCGGGTCGGGTCAGATCGGGTCAGGTCGGGTCGGGTCAGATCGGGTCAGGTCGGGTCGGGTCAGCTCACCTGAGGTCGGCCGCATACCGGTTCTCCACATCGGACCTGTCTCTGATCAGGCGGCCGTACTTGTCCAAAAAGTCGAGTCCCTTCTGTGTGTGGAGCGCGATGTTGTCGAACTGATCCTGCGGCACGCGGAGAGCGACGACACGATCAGAACAGCCTGTACACGCGCGCAGAGGCAGACACCAGACAGTAACGATGAGCTACATGTCGGAATAATGGAAGTCCAGCCAGTGTTCCTAAACAGGTCACCGACTACTAGCTCTGCGTTTCTGTCAGTAGGTACCAGACTCTCGACGCCACACCGGACAGCGCCGCGGTGCGCAGCGGCCCTTATCGCAATCCGTACCGCGGTGGCCGTGGCCGGACCAGCGCCGCGGGGCGTGGGAAGGTCGCTCCGAGGCGCGGAGTGCGCTGTGGCTAGCAGTGTGTCGCTACTTCAGCGACAGGCGCCACAGATTGAGACTATTGGCCCATGACTAGAGTATTGAGAGTATATCAAACCACAGTGTTGAACGTGGATGAGTTCCACATTTTGTGTGCCCACTTGAGTTAAACATTTCATAATCCAGGCCATTCAAATGAAAACAGGGCATTATTCACCAAACTAAATTATCATTTGTTACTGCTCTGCTGATAGCAACACACTGCTGGAAGAATTCTGGGCTGCTAGGTATTCAAGTTGTTCATAAGAATATTAACTCATAAGTCTAGCTCACCCAAACAAAGCATGCATCATAAATCATTCTTTAACCCTATTCCTGGCGGGCTCCGCCGGGACAAGAAACTGGCGGGGGGGGGGGCCGATTCGGCCCCCCCCCCTGAGATCTCGAGAACGAAGCAAGATAGCGACAAACGGTAAACGGCATCGGATACGCACGGTCAAGATCTACAATTTTTACAAAGGTCATTTTCAGGTCAGGTCAAAGATGACGTCACAGGGGTCGAAAAAGTCAAAATGGCGGCGCTAGATATGGAGAGAGTTTTTCTCGAATAACTTTCGAATTAGTAAAGATGGGAACAAACTAAGGGCATCATCGTGATCCTCTCGTCAATCCGCATCGAATGATATATATGTTGACCTCGCAAGGTCAAGGTCAAAGGTTGACCTCAGGTCACGTGACCTCGAGGTCATCATGTATATCATTCGATGCGTCTTGACGAGCTGAACACAATGAGACCATCCACGCGTCTGTATCTTGTTCCTGTACGGAGTTATTGGCCAAAAACCTTTGGTGACCTTTGATGACGTCACATGACCTCACAGCTGCCCAACAGCAAAACAGACCTCAAGGTAGTGAAGGTTGATCGTATATGAAGTCATGTATGGTATATGGGGCCATTCCGACCCGTTTTAGTGGTAAAAACAGGGAGTTGATTTTTCGCCCATTGACTTATAATGGGGAGGTCGCGAAACTGACCTGACCTTAGGTCACCGATATCAAAATTCCGAGATATACAAATTGCACATACTGGTACCCTAACTAAAGCCTGAAGAGAAGAAATTGATCGGTCAAAAACTCTAGCTCTGGCGTGATTGCAAACTTTTCTGAGGTAGGGTCACCAAACCGCCTCTGGTGACCTGACCTGAGGTCAGATCAACTCAAAATTTTCAGACATGTTGCGTAGAAGCCTTTTAGGAAAAGTCAGAAAATTTGAGCTTCCTAGCTCAACGCGTTTGGGAGAAATAACCAAAAAACCTCAGGGGGGGGCTCCTGAGGCCCCCCCCCCGCCAGGAATAGGGTTAAAAATGTTAAGTTTTCATCTTCTGTTCCCAAGTTTTTACTTCCTGAGCATTTACCACTCAGATAGGTTATATTACCATACAGATAAAAATGAGGAATATCTAGTCACATATACTATACCTAGGTGGGGAAAAGTGATCTAGCCATGTTCAAATAACAGTGTAACTAGAAACAGTCAAAATGAATTGGGAATTTTTGCAATGTGTAATTAAAAGGGAGCACCAGTCACAAAATGTTCAGCAAACTGCAAAGGAATATATCAATATTCACAGAGCAACATTGCACACTACAAATGGCTCTGACAAAATTACAAAGAATAGTGACAGATTCAACAAGCAGTTCTGGCTAGGGTATCTAAGTAGGCATACCGAACAAGTCCACAGAACACACTTATGTGAACTGGCAACTATGCTGAAAATCCATGCCACCATGTGATGTGATGAACAAGGCTTAGAGTTCCCCATACATGATCCAGAAACCTTCATCTGTTATATGAAACCCTGATGAATATTTGGTAAATAACCAATATGCAGGCAGTCTCATCTGTCACCAGAGGACATGCTCTGAAGCTGCTGAAGCCTCAAGCTGCTTCAAGACCCAGGAGACACACTCTATCGGTCCGCGCCATCAACGACTGGAATGCGCTTCCTGCCTCTGTGGTCCTCTCTACGTCTGTCAATATCTTCAAAGCCCGTCTCGACTCTCACTGGGGTGATGCATCCTTTGACATCCCAGCCCAAGATTCATGACTGTCTCTAGTAAGGAGCTCGATGAGATCAGATCCCTACAGGTTCAGGTTCAGGTTCAGGTTATGAGCTAGGAGTAGACACTGTCTATTTGGTGCTCATATCGTGGAATGCACTAATCAGAGGATGAGCTTTAGTGGTCGACTAGGGTAGCCCAATGTCGGTCAAGCCTCTTCTTGAAGGCACTAGTACTTGGTGCTGACACAACATAGTCTGGCAGCTCATTCCAAGGGGTGACTACTCTGTTAGCAAATGACATGTTTCTGAAGTGGTGCGTTGACCGTCTTTTCTTCAACTTAAATCGATGACCCCTGGTTCTTTCATTGTCTTGAAATTCAAAGAATCGTCCTGCATCTATATCAACTTTTCCTGTTACAATCTTGTAAGTCTCAATTAAGTCACCACGCTTGAGTCGATCTCGCATGCTCATCAGATCAAGCCTCGTCAGCCGTTCTTCATAGGGATAGGCTCTAATTTCTCGTACAAGCTTGGTAGCTCGTCTCTGAACTTTTTCAAGCTTTTGTATATCTTGAACCATGTGAGGACCAACCGCAGACAGGCAATAATCTAGATGCGGGCGAACATAAGTGGTGTACAAGGACCTGAAGTTGTTGACATCAATATTTCTGAAAGCCATTTTTAAAAGCCTTAGTGCAGTCATTCCTTTCAGTGCCGCAGCTTGGCAGTGGCATGTTGCTTTCAGGTTGTTGGCTACAATCACGCCCAGATCACGTTCGTGAGTTGTAGTGCAGATCGTCCTGGCTTCATCATTACCTTTCATGACATAGTCCTCTGCAGGGTTCATATATCCACAATGCATGATCTTGCACTTTTCAACGTTGAACTTAAGCAGCCACTGATCTGACCATTCAGATAGCCTGTCAAGGTCTGCTTGCAGTGTTGCACAGTCCTGTTGGGTTACTATGTCTTTGAACAGTTTTGTGTCATCTGCGAACAGTTTACAGCCACTCTGCACCAGGGTTGGAAGCTCATTGATGTAGATCAAGAACAAGGTCGGTCCCAATACCGAACCTTGCGGTACTCCACTGGCCACATCTACACACTGTGACTGGCTTCTCCCCACTGTGACCTGCTGTTTTCTGTTCCTGAGGAAGTCGGTTAACCAAGCGAGCAGTTGTCCTCTTATTCCATAAGCACTCAGCTTGTGGATGAGTCTTGCATGCGGAACTCTATCAAAGGCCTTTTGGTAGTCAAGATATGCAATGTCCACAGCTTTGCCTTCATCCATCCACTGAGTCCAGAGTTCAAATGCTTCAAGTAGGTTGGTCTGGCACGATCTACCCTTTACAAATCCATGTTGGTGCTCACTAATCAGCCTGTGCCTGTTAAGGTGGTCTTTGATGTGTCTCAAAATAATTCTTTCCAGAACTTTGCACAGCTGACAAGTAAGACTTATTGGACGGTAGTTTCCAGCAACTTTCTTGCTCCCTTTCTTGAAAATTGGAGTGATGACTGCCATTTTCCACTGGTTCGGCAACTGTCCTTGAGTCAGAGAGCACCTAAACAGTCTTGTTATGGGCTTTGCAAGCTGTTCTGCAGTGTTCCTCAAAAGGGTTGCGGGAAATCCGTCGGGGCCCCCCGCTTTACCTTCTTTGAGACAGTTCAGCTCGTTAAGTACTTCTGTTTCGGATATGTCAAATTCATTAAGTGTATCCTCCTCGTCCACAACATTGGGAAAATGGGGCAAACATCCAGTCTCTTCTCGGACAAAAACCGATTTGAAGCAGGCACTCAGTACTTCTGCTGCCTCCTCATTGCTCTTGGTCAGGTCCCCGCTTGCGGCTTCAAGATCTCCTACTGTAGGCTTAACCTTCAGTTGTGATCTTATACATCTGTGTATTTTCTTTGGGTCTTCCTTTCCTTGCAGGATTATGCCATTTTCATACTTTTTCCTTGATGCCCTTATGAGCTGTGTAACCTTGTTTCTTTGCTCAGCGTATGCATTATAACTGTTGGATGTGTTCAGTCTTGTGAATTCTTTCCACCGTTCGTGTTTCAACTTGACTTCTTTTGTCAACCGTTTTGACCACCATGGGACAGTTTTGTGATTTTTTTTCATTGATGAAAAAGGCACATGCTGCTCAATATTCTCTTGGATAACCTCCTTTATCTTGGACCACATACTTTCCACATCCATGTCTTCAAGAATGTCCCAATTCACATCTTGCAGACTCATCCTCATGTCCTGATACCTCCCCTTGCCAAAGTTATATCTGGAAGAGTCTTCTTGTGCCACAGCTTGAGTAGTAAAATCAGGCTGGTACTGATAGTCCCATGTAAGTACAAGATGGTCACTCTTTCCAATGGGGGCACTGGTCTCAATATGATCAATAGCAAACTCATCTTTTGTGAACACAAGGTCAAGTAACGAAGGCGATTGTCCAATTCTAAACCTGGTTTCGGTCATAGTATGTTGCACCCAGAAAAGATCTTGAGTTGTATCGTAGAACTGCATTGGATATGAATCTTCTGGACCATCAACATGACCTGACTGCCAATCAATCTCAGGGAAGTTGAAGTCCCCAAAGACTAGCAAATGCTGTACATGTACCAGTGCTGTTTGTCTCAAGGTTCTAAGCAGCTTCTCATTGTTGTCCTGACTGCTTGAGG